TACTATAAATCATGATAATTGACAACATAAAATATTTCAAAAATGTTGTATGTGGGTAGTCTTATTATGCCTTAAATAGCGTCAAAGAAAGTACATGTTTGTGATAAAAAAACTTATTCATTTATCCACGCAAACAATAGCTTCAAAAACTCGATTATTAGCCCCAAAATATACCATTTATATTATTGGGCCCGTGCTCTAGTTAATATAATACAAGAGAGTAGAATAAATTACCATTTCAAATTTCGTCATACAGGCGGTAGGATGACACATAACCTATAGATCATTATATGCATATTATGTTCGTATATAGTAAAGTATATATACTATGTACTCCAATGATCGGAACCGTATATTTAGAATACACAACAAAAAATGAACGTTCAGGATGTAGCTTTACATTGACATGGTACGTACCAGAGTGTGTGTGAACAAAAGGTGGATGATGAATTGCATGATGGTGTATATGAGAAAACATTTGATACTACTCTTCTGGCATTCAAATTGCGTTATTATTTTAATCAGACTACTCTATTTTTCCATTTCCACTTTATTGAAAAAGCCGGTAATCATTCCCATCCCCATGTCTCTCCTTCTCCAGCTATTATAGTCTTTCCATATTTCTCTCCCCTCTTCCATCTATCTAGCTACCTTCCCTATATATATATATATATATACACATAAAGAGATTAACTAATATAGTCAGCAACTAGAAATCAAAATGGGTAGAGCTCCCTGCTGTGACAAAGCCAATGTCAAGAGAGGACCATGGTCACCTGAAGAAGATTCAAAACTCAAGGCCTATATTGAGCAACATGGAACTGGTGGTAATTGGATTACCCTTCCCCAGAAAGTAGGTGAGTAACGATCAATTTATCTAAAAGTTTAAACTGAAAGATCAAATGGTTACTTAATTATATCTTCCATTGCACGTCCTACTAGTTAGTATATATTCGAACACTAATTTCTATATATATTATCTTGCTTCTATTTGCACAAATTGAGGTTTAATTTTTAATTCATGTTGTTTTTATATGGTTTAAATTTAGGTCTCAAGAGATGTGGGAAGAGTTGTCGGCTTAGATGGCTGAATTATCTCCGGCCAAATATCAAGCACGGAGAGTTCACTGATGAGGAAGACAACATAATCTGTACTCTCTACATGAGTATCGGTAGTAGGTACTTATTTTTCAATTCTAGGGTTACTCTCAAGGTTATTGCATAAGTTATTTTTCCCCTTAATTTCTATAAAGGTAATTTAGAGTCTTGATCAGTAATTCATTAACATATTATAATTTTTCAATATAAAAGGTGGTCAATTATTGCTGCACAATTACCTGGGCGAACGGATAATGATATCAAGAACTACTGGAACACGAGGTTGAAGAAAAAACTACTACTATGCAATAAGCAGCGAAAGGATCATCGGCCACGGACCGGATCATACATTAATCATAATAAGCTAGAGATGATGAAGGAACACGAAAATTTCTTTGCTACTCATCAAACTATCAATAATACATATTCTTGGCCTTCACAACAAATACTCTTCTCTACACTAATTGCACCACAAAATCATGACCTGGCAGAAAGCAGCAGTGCAAACAGCCACAACTTTCAATATTCCACTACTGATCAGGTTTATTTCTCCCAAGATCAATTGTGTCAAATTAGCTCCACCAATCAGCTTGCATCGATGAATCTCGTAAATGGCAATACTTGTAACTCTTCTGTGATGATAAGCAATGGCTATTACCCTAGCAACGGGGTCGTTATCAACAACGGTCTACAAGAGTATAACAATTACAATTCTGTTGGGCTGGATCATGACGCGCTCAATAGTACTCATTCTCAACAAGTAGATAAAAGTGTTTTGGAAATGGTCAATAGTAGCACTATTAGTACCACATCACAAGATCAAAGTACAAGCTGGGAAGAATTGAGTCCTCTTGTTAATTATCCTCCATCAGTATTCGAAACCGTATCACCTTACTATGTATTTGAAGAGCAAAGGTACATGGGGTTGTTGAAACAGTAAAACATTAATTTTAGCCACATATATATTATGTAACTTTCCAAGTTTCAGTCGACTTTTCAGTGTGGTGCCTATTCACTGAAACTTAGGGATATGTTTGGTTACTTTCCACTATCACTTTCATATATCTTGATTACTACTACTACAGTATTGAAAAATTCTTTGTATTTTCTCGATATATGTGCACATATATTTATTTTTTCTGTACGTGTTATGCTTTATTAGATTATTTTTTTGTACTAGTTCATATGGTTGTTGTGAATATGGTATCCTAGAGATAGAGACCTGCAGTACTAGTTTACATCATTGTACGTCCTAATACTATATATGGACACCTGCTGTGTTAGTTTATAGGGACCATAAACTAGAGCTAGGATCTGAAGCTTATAAATTATGTATTCTAATATTTTTAAGTCGATTTAAATCGATTCGGTAGGCAACACCTTTCCCATAGTACTGTTTTTGGATATCATAATTTTCAGTTTAATACATAGAGTTTGAAGTGTATATACGACAAAAGCATTTAGGTGATAATCTCTATTGGAAAAGGGAAATGGCAATGAAAGTTGGAAAGGTACTTTGAAGTTTTGGACAACACTTGATTGGCTTTAGTATGTAGGGTATCAAATAAATGGCAGTTTCTTCTTAGTATTATGTTGAGTTCAATTAATACAAATAACAACAAGCCGAGGAAGAACTTATAATAAGGTCCGTGTCATGTTCGTTCCACCAGGAACAGAAAGACTGAAATGTCGGATATTGATTCTTCAGTTTTATATATTTGTAAAATTAATACTGTCATATTAATTAGCAGCCCTTTGTGAAACTATATATTATATCGCTTTCCAATATTTCAATGTCACCGTATCACAAGTGGTGCCTTTCAACATGAACATTATTGTACCACTTGTTTGTCCTCTTTTAGAAGCTGCAATATTCTTAAGTAATAACAAGAGGCTTATAGCACGACATACGTACACAAAAATACCTTCTTCTTTTTCCATAGATTAATTATTTTTATCACCCAGCCTGTTCACCAATTTTAGTATATTAAGAAAATAAAGCAAGACTACTTCTAATTTTGTGGTCTTAAATTAAAGATGTTTAATTTTGTGGTCTTAAACTTGTCAAGTAGGATGTTAGAATTGAAAAACTTACTAAATATCTAAGACATGAGAAACTTAATTATTGTGATTTGTGACGGAGCGGGTAATTTTTAGTGGTCTTTATATATGCTTACCATAGAAAGAGCCCTAACACTGAAATTCACGCTTCAAATTAGCTTTCCATGTGAATTTGGCAATTTCAAACTTCTTTTTTATTTACATAATTATTTTGTAAGGCAGAATAAGCAGTCCCACGTAGCAAAATAAAGTTGGAAAGAAGCCTCTTTTGCATGAGCATACTGACCCATTGCCAATTCTTTGATTAGAACTAAAGTGCTTGTCACGCTGCACTTTTCTTACGTACTCCTTCTGTTTCTTTTTTTTTTTTAAATCTATTAACACACCTATTAAAAAAGCTATTCGGAACATAAATTAAAAATGTTATTGACTACATTAGCCTTTATTTCTTTCAAATTATTCATGGCAAATAGTAAAGAATTTAAAAAATAATTATCCAACCATATTTTGTAAGACAATTGTAATTTTGGAAAACTGCACCTATGTTTCGATCCTTAAAATATTTGGTTTTAATTCAAATTAAAGAAGCAAAAGTTGCAATAAATTACTAGCTGTTTATGCAAAAATAATTGATGTGGAATCTGGATAGCGTAGAATGTTTTGTAGTCCAACTCACATGATTTAGAATTGTACTTTGTCAAAGATTTTCACTAGCCAAAAGATCTTCACCCTCCACACGGCTCTTTGATAGGACATTCATATACTCCCTTGGTTTCGTATCATTTTTTAATCTGTTTCAAAAATAAAAGTTTGTTCGTTCTAACTTTTCACACACAAAATTGAATGACATTTTAGTACATTCAATATATGTTTAGTTTAAGATTACAAAATTCAATTTTTAAAATTTTTATATCAAGTCAAACAAACAAATTGATATGGAGAAAAGAAAGAAGATTAGTGATTGGTTTTTAAGTCAATTTTTTGACTTCGGTAAGTGTTTGATAAATATAAAAAATAAAAAAAATAAAAGTAAAAAATGATTTAAAATAAGTGAGAAAGTGTTTGAAAATGTTAAATAACTTAACATATATTAAAAATAAAAAATAAATCTTCTCATTTTTTTTATTTTTTGATATAAAAACTACTTTTTAAACCAATTTAAACGAGCTATGAAAAATGAAGTCAAAAGCAGATGAAAAGAAAGAGTAATGGGGCACACAAAAACACCAAAAAGATTGACCTGGTGTTATTAGTACATTTCTTTTTAGTTGATTCAAATTGCAATAAGTAGTATTGTCAACCGGAGTTAAACTGTTACTCCCTTTATGAATAACCTTTTTACTATAAACTTCAACAAGGAAAGGGTGACATATTCTTATACATACATTTCTTCAAAAATAACATCTCTTTCTCATTTTGATGTCGATTGTTACCTAACTGTTCACTTTATATATTTTTTTTACCTGGTCAACACAAAATTTGTATAGTACTTTATTTATTTTACTCCTTTTCCATTTTTCATTATTTTTTTGACGATCAGGACCCCAATTCAATATCAATTGATAGGTGAAAAACTTCCTCCAAACTCCATCTCAAATTATCTATCGTGATTTCTAAATATCAAATGTCTTAGAATATTATTTGTTGTTTTAAAAAATCAAAATAAAATTATTTATTTTCCCTCAATTTACCTTCAGTTCAAACTACAAATATCTCAATTATAAGTGATGCTTTAATTGTTTAAATACGAATAAAAGGTAAAATAGTTTTTTTATAAGTAAATAAAAAGGTCCTACTAATTAATATTTCGAAGAGAATCTTTTTAGAGAGGAGAGAAGAACTCTTATTCGAGATGAGACTTGCTCAAAACAATTCTTTTTGTTTCATATTATTTGTTCAATTTTTTTCTTACACACCTCTTAAGAAGTTACAAGTAATTAGTATATTTTTACTAATTTATAATTTTACTCTTTTTGATACACTCTATTTATGTGTCTTATCCGTCAATATAAAAATTGACAATGAACGATCTTTTTGGAACTTTATGATATTTAAACTTTCAAAAAAATTAACTTTAAAGGGGGAAATGAGAAAAATTAACTAATTATATCTTAATTTGATAAATTGACAAATAATTTAAAAATATATTTTTAATAATGTGTTGTGTGAAATTTTGAATATAAAACAAAAAGAGTATCAATGTTTTTTTTTTAACCAAAAGCACCTGAACTTTGTCAAGAAATCTGTCACATTAATTTCTAGATAACAATGAGAGAAATTTCCCCATAGCTAACTTCCATTTTATTCAAAGTAACAACTAATTCATGCCAAATTTATTAAAGACCTAAATTTCTATATTCAATTTGAATTTCTCTCTTGCAATTTTGTAGACGATTCTATATATCTGAATATTGATTTTATATATATATATATATTTATTGCGTCAAAGAGTTAATTAAAAAAGTAATTACGGCGTCTTACTGCAACTATCAAGTTAATTAAAATCCAATTCCCAATTATATTTTCAAAAGTAGGCTTAAAAAGTGTAAACGACTTTGCAAGTACAATCCAAGAAGTTCCTTATTCTTCTTTGCTTTTACTAATTACAAAATCATGGAAATGTCGCCAGTTTTTCTTATTTTTAATTGAAAATTACATTAGGGGATTAAAAGAAGAGAAGGGCGAAGGAGAATATAATTACAACGCAATGTATGTAACAACGAAATGTTGACGAAGGGAATATTAAAATGACAAAAATCGCATACTTCGATAACTTTAAAAAAAGCAACTAATAAAATAAAGGTAATCTCTGAGTTTTATTAGCATCTCAAAGGATTAAACAACAAATCAAACGAATCCGTGATTATTGCACTAAATTCGCCTAAGCTCTGACAACCACTCCACCATCACCGTTTCCTTCCTACTTGCTATCTATATTTTATTTTAAACCAAACTTTGCTAATTAAAGTAGAATACAATATAATTCATCCAAGGTTTATTACCATGAAGCTTTGCTTACAAAATGATATTATTGAAAACCACGCCTTCTACAAAATTATTTAACTTTAGGAATATAATTTTAATTTCATTAAAACAAACATTACGTCTTTCTATTTGGTATGTCATCAAAGTTCCTAACAAAATATAACATAAATTACTATCCGACCTATTATATCAGTTGAATCGATCCATTGCAATTTTGATTATAAGTTTTTTGTTTGTTTTTTCTTGAGATTGTATAGAAAACTAGGGAGTATTTGGTTTTGTGTTTATGATGAAAGCCTAGAAGGACATGTCCATTTTCTCAGAAGCCCAACTTGTTACAACAAGCTCACCAGGCTGGTAATCATCGTTAATCCAGAATCTTAAGCTCTAATGGGCTACTAAGACCAAGCCCATCACATGACGGGCCTACTCCGGCAGGCTTAAAATATTGGGCTTGTTGTATTGAAGGACATGACTTGCCCATAGGCCTAAAAACTGTTGGCCCCAACATTTTTGTTGTAAAGCGAACAGGTTAGAGACATATTTTTGGAAAAATTACAAAATCTCTCCTTTTAGTTTACTTATTATCATTATCCCCTATAAGTTTTACAAATTTCCAAAATCTCTCAATTTCGCGCATCAGATTAGTGTATCTCACGCATCAGATTAGTGTATCATGTATAAAATGTACATCAGATTAGTGTATCATGTATAAAATGTAATGTATCTTATTTAACGATTAATGTATCTCGCGCATCAAATTAATGTATCAACGCTTATATTATTGTATCCGTTTGAGGGATTTCTATAATCATAAAATTTTAAGGGATAGATTGTAATTTCACCTTAAAAGTATGTGATTTCTGTAATTTGCCTCATATTTTTATTTATTTATTCACTATATTAAAAATAAATAGTATAAGCTTTTTATTTATTTAGCTTAGAAATCAAAATATAATTTATTTTTATTATTAACTATATTTATTTTACAATACATTTTCCAAAGCATTGAATTTATGTCTATTTTTTCGTTATACTCATATTAATTGATATTTAGACTTAAATCT